GAGAGAAGCCGAGGACCGGGGGCGCTCGGCGTGCTGGAGCTCATCTGCAGTGTGGACACAGGAGCTGGCAGTAGTGTTCACAGGACCGATTTGCTGATTATTGGCTCCGGGAAATGCCAATGATGAAGCTATGTTTATCTTGAGATTTAGTATTCATTTTATAGAAAACATCCAATGTACTGGCATGAAGTACAGACTACTAACAGAAAAATGGGCAGCACAGTTCCTGCTATATGTTTATAAGGAAAGGGAAGGGGTTAATCCCAAAGGCAATTTAAATAATGGTTATTTTATTTTTATATATAAATAAATGTTCTGAGAAATCTCAGACTTTAGTGCATTGTTGTAAAAAATTAGTGCAGTTTTTTTCATTAAAGTTTTTAGCGCTCAAGGAATAAGATAAATCTATGTCTGTTCATAGTCTCTTTCACTGTACATTAAACTTTTATACTGCTATGTGTCAAACTGAAGGTTTCTACACTGGTCTGTTTTTAAAAATGAAGATAAATGGATTTCGTGTTCTATGACAAAACATGGCAACTGTTTTTGGCAAAGAAATTAGAAAAATATGAGATCATACTTTAGAAATCAAGAGTTTGTTGATTTAAAGCATAGGCAATGCATAGGAAAACACTTTTTTAAAGGATGTATTTTAACAGAACTTTATCCTTCATGCAAAATGTTTTCTCAGCAGCTAACTTAAAAAAATATTTCAGATTTATTCGGGGACAAAGACAGTGACAGGAGTCTGGGTGGAGGGCAAAGGAGAGGCGCTTAATCAAGCCCCCTCCACGTTCAAGTCTCTCCTCTAGGACCAAAGTGAGGCCTGCAGACATCTTCTGCTGCCTCCTCTCTTTTCCCAACGTCTTGAAATTGAGAGGGAAAATACATGTAGTTCTAAAGCACTGGCTCACACTTCAGCCCCAAGTTCTAGTACCCCTGTTTCAATTACAGTCACGTATTTATCATCAATCTGAACCAGGAGTACTGTCTTGTCAATGTGGGATCTAGTACCTGGATCTCTGCTGCAAGGCACCCATCGGTGAATCACCTAAAGAATAAAACAAGAATTAGTGACAGAAACCTTGAATATACTCACAAACTCTTATCCTTCACTTAAGATTAGAGGTAGCAATTCTGTTACACAATTAAGATAAGTATATATATATATCAATTAAAAACATGGATACAAGTCAGTCAGGCTACAAAAAAGTCAGAGCACCAGACACTTAGCTTCTGAAGAGAACTTACATGGCCTTCCATGCCCTCCTGAGGACTCCAGTCTTTCCAGCTGTTTCTCCCAGCTTTTAACCGAATACCCTCATCAGGCCACTGCAGCTCTTTTCTTTTTGACAGGTTGATCCCATCCAGAATTTGACTGGGATCCACAATCTGTATTTTAAATAAATATAGATCATTTCTAATTCATTTTTGTCTTGAAGATCAAAAATAATATAATTCCAAACAAAATTTCTTTAACAGGGCTCTGTGTCTCAAGTTCTCCACTGCCTATAATAGAATAAAAAACAATCTAAGGGGGGGGGGGTGGCTCAGTTGGTTAAGAGCGTGAGCTCTGAGTAACTGGGTTGCCGGTTCAATTCCTACATGGGCCAGTGAGCTACAGCT